GCATCAGGATCTGATGGGATTTCCCACCCCATCATTTCGTATTTAGGTCTGGCAGGAGAACTTGCATCCTTGCAAGTTATCAACAAATCCTGGCAAACCGCCACGGTAGCCCAGAGCTGGAAACAAGCCACAATAGTTCCCATCCCAAAACCAAAGGAGCCTGGCAAGTACCGTCCCATCTCTCTTCTCAGCTGCCTGGGTAAAACTGCTGAGATGGTACTCAACAGGCTCCGATGGAAGACGGGATCCCCTCATGAACACCTGCACGGGTTCACAAGGGGTAAGAGCACTGCACACAGCATTTCCACACTCTTAAGCACAATCTGCACCTCTCCCGCCGTGGTTGTCTTCCTAGACCTGGAGAAGGCTTTTGAATTGGCAAGCCCGCTTGCCATTCAAGAGACCCTAATCCACAAAGGAGTCAGAGGCAGACTCTTGGCCTGGATAGCTATTTTAAAAATAGGTCAGCAAATGTCAGATTTCAAGGCCACCTCTCGCAGCACATGCCACTTGAAAATGGAACTCCTCAGGGTGGGGTTCTCAGTCCAGCCCTGTTCAATACCCTCATGTCCAACATACTCGACATTCACCTGCCAGATGGATGCCAGATCATCTCTTATGCTGATGACTTGGCAATCATAGCCTCTGGCAATCACTGTCTAACTAGAGCTCAGCGTTGTCTGAACCTGGTGTCTGAAGAGTGTTGTAGGACAGGTCTAAAAATATCGGCAGCAAAATCCAAAGCAATAGCTCTGAGAACTAATGTCAGAAACAAAAAACTCACTGTGCAGGGTATGGGTCTGGAATGGGTTAAGGACTACCTATACCATGGTTATGGAAAGAGTACTCAGACCCCTACAACAAGACTACCAGTTGTTTTGACAACTCGCTCACACACACAGCCAGAGTATTGATACGCTTTCAGCTAAAAGAACCATTGCTTGCCAAGGGCATGGACTCCCCTCACCCTGACTACAAAGAACCCCCGCCGTGGGCAAACGAAATGATCGAATTCTCAAAGATCAATATTCCATGCCTAGTCTAAAGGCACAAGCACAAAGGGTCATTGATCAAATAACTCCTCCGGTAGCATAACATACTACACGGACGGATCCGTGGATCCCATAAGCCATACTGCAGGCACCGGCTCCGCAACAAGGGATAC